GGATGAAATCACCAAGGGGAAGGTAACAAAGAGAGGAATCCAAGGCCTGAGCCTCAACATACTACAACATTTAGCAGAAAGAGATGAGAAAGAACTAGTGAGACTGAAGGTGCTATAGGTCAAATATGTCCCCCAAAAGTTCATATATCAGAAACTTAACCTCCATTTTAACAGTGTTAAAAGGGTTGGAAATCCAATTACAGTAACTGAAAGGCAGGGCCTTAAAGAGGTGATTAGGCCGTGAGGACTATGCCTTTGTGAATGGATTGATTCATTCATGGAGTAATGAGTGTGGTTCTAATGGCTTTAAAAGAACAGCAAGTGAGGAGGTTAGCTCACTCTTCCTCAGCCCATTCTTGCCATGTGACACCCTGCTTATAGTCACCACCAGACCAAGGCCCTCACCATACATGTTCCCTGGACTTTGGACTTCCCAGTCTCCAACTGTAAGAAACAAATTTCATTTCTTTATAAATTATCCAGTTTCAGGCATCCTGTTATAAGCAATAGAAATGAACTAATACAGAAGGTAAATCAGGAATGTGGCATCCTGACAGCAAAGTGAAGAAAATGTTTCCAGGATAAGGGATTGATCAACTCTGTCTAGTAAGAGGAGGACTAAGAACTGATCACTGGACTTAATGTCAAGACCACTGGTGACACTGATTAGAATAGTTTCAGTGGAATTATGGAGGAGAAAGGCTGATTAGCATGGGTTTAAGAAAAAAAAGGGAGAGGTAGTAGAGATGTAACACAGACAACTCTTTCAAGGAACTTTACCATAAAGGACCAAGAGGGAGAAGAGTTGAAGTGGGGTTTTTTTTGTTTTATGTTTTTTAAAGGTGGGAGAATCTACAGTATGATTGTATGCTTATGAAAATATCTAGTAAAAATGGAAAAACTGATGATAAAGGGGAAAAAAAGAAATGCAGGAGCAATGCCCTCCAGCTTAGAAGGAACAGAATCTAATGAACAAGTTGAAGAGTTGAACTTAGAAGGAGCAAAGATAATTTATTTATAGTAACTAGAGGGGAGGTAAAGATGCTCCCATGTGGACAGATGTGACTGAGAGCCTGTGAAATGAAATGCCTCAATAAGTCTACCATAGGGGTTGGCAAACTACAGCCTGTGGGCCAAATCTGGTCTGCTGCTTGTTTTTGAAAATTAAGTTTCATTGGAACACAGTCACACTCATTCATTTACATACTGTCTATGACTTCTTTCATATTACAATGGCAGCTGATAGCTGCAACAGAAACCATATGGTCCACAAGCCTAAATTATTTACTGTCTGACCTTTTACAGCAAAAGTTTGTCAGCCCTGGTAGAATGGAATGCTCCAACTGTTACTCTGATTTCAGGGTCAGTTAACTGGCTATGAGGAAAGAAGGTATGCATGGGCCTAATGACACAGCATTAACTTCTACATCATTTCTAGTATCTGGAGCTCAAAATGAATACTCTATGAGTAATCAAATATTAATTTTGTTCCTTATCTTTTTTTTAAATGTTTTTATCACTACTGCTACATTAGTTTTGAACTGGCTCTATCTCTAGGAAAGGGGCTATGGTTTTGCCTGTTACCAAGGGATCTCTCGAAAAGGGAAAGGGAAGAAGAAATAAAGCAATTATATATAAAACATAGAACAGCATTCCAAGTTAATTAGTATTTTTGTTTAATCTTCAAGACAGATGAATATAATAAGATTTTTTCTCAACAAATAATTTAATACCATTTCATTACATTTAATTTATATCTTAGCATCATAAAAATGGCATTACACTAAAAGAAACATAAACATTTTATTCAAAGAAATTTCCACCTTTAGAGAGAACCAAAATTTCTGGTGGCTTTCTAAACACCTAATACATGGATTTACCTAAAATAGCCAACCTTATTTCCCACTAGCAGCTCTCATTGCTAAAACACATATATTGTTACAGTCAAACCAATCTCAACCCCTCGTGGATCAGCCCACAATCATTTCCAACCCCACCATTTCTTCAGTTACTCTCTGTGCCTATCAAAACCCCACTCACAAGTCAAAACCCATTTGAAGTTATAACTCCTTCAAGAAACCTTCCTAAATGGGCCAACCCTCATTAATTTCCTTCCTATTAGAACTCAGACTAAAATACAATTGCGCATTCATTTGTCTGCATTTTGTATTGTGTCATTAATCTGGATTCCTTAACTAAACTATAAGCAATTTGAAGGCAAAGAACTCCTCTTATTCTTACATATTACTAAAATGCTAAGCACAGCACTGGTTATCCTCAACACATGTTGTTGATCTGTATAACCTAAATATACAAAAATGTGCAATATTAGATAAAGTCCACCATCCATTCAGCCTAGTACTTATAATTCTTGACTATTCAGGTAGTTGCACATACTTGTATGTAGACACCCAATAAATGTTTCTAAGTTGAATGAAGGAAGGACTAAACACATGTATGAATGATGAATAAACAAAGGGCATCTTTTAGAAGGTGGAGGAAAGGGGCAAATTTTAGAAGGATGTGAATGATCAATTTGAATCTTAAATTCATCAGAACACTTTCTGCTGCAATCCAATTCAAACCAATTTATACACAGAATTTGGCCCAAGGAACTGAGAAAGACAACAGGGTGGCTCACAGAATCAAAAGAAAACCACAGGTACCATATACTATGTTCCCTGAAACTGCAACTGGCACTCTATCGCCATCCATTTCTCATCTCTATATGACTTCACTTTCTCCTACTACAGATAGGCTTCTCATACATGTGGGAAAAAATGTAATTAGTACCCTCCCAGATTAACAACCTCAGAGAAAAGGGAGCATCTTTCTCCTAGCATTTGCACATCAATTTCAGAGAAGAATCGTGACTGGCTCTGCTAGAGTAACAGGAAATCACTACTCCAACAGTAATGACAAGGCTGGGGTTATACGACTGTCAGACAGTCTACCAACCACTCAGAATAGGGGAAGGTGGGTTCCCCAAATGAAGAGATACTGGATTAACAAAAACAATACAGTCAGCCCTTTCTGCCCGTGGGTTCCACATCAGTGGATTCAACCAACTGCAATCAAAAGTACTGGAAAAAAAAATCGTGTTTGTACTGAACATACATACAAGCTTTTCTTCCTTTTCATTATTCCCTAAACAATACAGTATGAAACTATTTACATAACATTTACATTGTAATAGGTATTATAAGTAATCTAGAGATGACTTAAAGTATCCGAGAGCATGTGCATAAGTTATATACAAATACTGTACCATTTTAAATCAATGATTTGAGCATCTGTGGATTCTGGTATCCACAGGGGTCCTGGAACCAATCCCCTGTGGATATGTCTTCTACCAGCTACAACCTTCCTCAACCCAATTCTAATTAAGAATTTATGATGATTTCTCTACATTTTGAAATTATTTGTATTTCTACAGAGCCAATATTTGTTTTCAGCCATCACCACTTCTTGAAATGAAACCCATGTAAAGCCCCAGTTAATTCTTCTAACCTTCAAGTCATGCACATTCATTCTAACATTCTGACACTTGTTTCATGCAGCCATACCAGTCATGACTTTAAATTTTCAGTCATACTTCACTGACAAGTTTTTTAGATGGACTAATCCAAACCATTTCAGTCAGTCATACGAGGGGTCTTCAAAAGGTTCATGGAAAGATTTGTGTTCTCTTTTAATTCCATTTTTCCATGAACTTTTTGAAGTACCCTCGTATAGTAGTCTCTTGTGTACTTCATTACATCTAAAACTTTCATTCTTCATTATATTATTTTTCAGAGTACTTTGACTAAAACATAGTATAGAAAACTCTTGGCATTTAGTATTTCTTTATTCAGGAACAGCACAGGACCCATGTGAATCTTTTGGTAAGAGAGCAAACAAATATTATGTAGGAAAAAGTTATTCAAGTAAACAACATAAATGATAACTGCGTATCTCAACTTAGCTTTGTTGCTCTCTACTCAATGTAGTCGTCAGACAAAATAAAAAATGCTTGCCTTTGAGAAAAATGGCCCTGAAAATAAAGCAATCTGCTGGTGAATTTCAGGGAAGAACATGGTTATGATTACAAAAGTAATAATGTAAGGTGGTATAATCTACTTCAGCTATTTTAGCAGTTACACACATAATCTTAATCCTAACTTAGGGTTATACTTATTAGTGCATTTACTGCATTTGGTGAGGGGAATTAATTATATGATACTGTGGTATCCAAGAATTTGGCGATTTCAAAGATCCCAGGACCTATTCAACACAAACAGCAAGAAACATCTGTGTTTCAAGGGTAGATTAACCCCTTTTATTGTACAAAGGTACAATATTTTCTATTGTGTTTCCAAAGTTTTCCTTACAATACCAAGGATTTCTTGGCATTTTTCCTTCTTTTTGACCACACCAGGACATTTTGATGATTGTTTCCAGGTAACCAGTAATAACTCTATAGTGATTCCCAAGTCCCTTTTCTGACTCACAATGTAGATGCTATTAATTATAATATAAATATATATTACAAAATTTTTCTTTAGGCAAAATACTTTGCATTTACTAAACCAAAACACAGACACTCTTCTGGCCATAAGTATCTCCATTGTTCATTATACAGAAGCCCTTAAAATGCCACTTCTATATTTAGAAGGATGATACAGTTAAAAATCATCTTCAGGTCTTTAAGAAAATGTTAAATAATAAACTATGAAACCAAAGTTTACTTTTTTGCTTATATTAAAATAAAAACCCAAGTATATTTTATTTTGGCCAAAAACAAAACTGTTAACTTTTACCTAGTGCAATATTAAAACACGTTAACTTACTTCTGAAATGAAAACCCACATATATTTTATTTTGGCCAAAAATAAAATTATAACTTTTAAAACTTAAGAATACTCACATAAATGTAACTTTTCTACTTTAGTCCAATATCAAAACACATTAGTTTACGACTTAATAGACTATATACTCTACTACTTCAGTCTTTACCATACCTTTTTTTCAAGGGACAAAAGGCACACAATTTAATGCTTGGACAATGTCACAATCAGGAACAGTGATCAAAAGAAGAGATGATATCTGGAAACGAAAACCAACATTTTAAAACTCTGACTGCAAAAACTATTAGTAAATGTTTGTGTACTCTTGATTCAATTACATTTCATATTCAACTTAGGTGTATAATTTTTTAAAAAACCTCTTTGCACTTAGGCATATAACATATTGATACCCAGTGAAAGCACGTCATAAACTTAAAAAAATCACAACTCAAAGCTTAGAATCAATCTAATTCAATATCTTCATTTGTTACAAGATAGAGAAAATTAGTCTTGCCCAAAGTCACAAAACTAGAACTAGTATCTGGATCTGATTCCAACCCAGTAACCCTTCCGCCACAATTCTACCTCTTAATACTCACTTCTGGTATCTAACATCCAACGAAATTTGCTCGCCATGAGAAGCCAATACCCCATATAGAACTGAAACTACACACCTGAGATCAAGTAATAAAGAAAAATGTAAAGACTTTTTTATAAACTTTTTCTTCTGCTTACAGTGCTTTTCCTAAAGACTTCTAGTAGAGTACCTGGTGGAATCTGGGCAAGATTCAAGACTTGCATCATTTTAAAAAAAAAAAAAAAAAAGGAAGTTGTATTAAGTGCTCTAAAGCACACTATGTTTCAATAAGAACAATTCCAAACAACTGCAAACAGGAAAGTAAACAAAAATCATTAAGAAGGCATTTAAAGTATATTGTGAAGTCAAATTATAGATTTATGCTAAAATATATCCTCTCTGTAATGTTTCAAGATATAAAAACTTTTGGGATCAGAGTATAATATTACCAGAGAGGATAAGATAGGATTTGAAGTGTGACAATGACAGAAAAATCTCAAGTATCATCAATATACATAGTAGGTGTTCACTGTGGTTTGTGTCCTTTCATCCTTCCACAAAACCTGATCTAAAACGTTTTGAATTGGTCATTATGCTTATTATGTGCAAAATAGATTAGATACCTACATTTTATCCTCCGCCCCCTTTTTTTAACAGCTTTATAGATCTGGAGATGATCTTATTTATCATAATTTTAACAAAAATCAACAGTGTCTACTATGCTTACCCTCCCCATGAAATGCTAACCCCTGAAAAAATACCATGCAATGTCTTTCAGAATTTCAAAAAAATACACTTTTGCTGAAAGATAATAAACCCATTTCTATAAGTTTACAATTAAACTCTGAAAATGTTAGAAAATTTCACTGAATCAATTTAAATGGTTTCTATCTACTCAGCCTGAGGATACTAACCTTGGGGTACACTCGAATCACACCCTTCGCTTTAGAACAAGCAATTCACCAGTATTAGTAAACTAGACCTAACATACGGACTCTCAAATTAATAAATTTCCTACCCTGACGGGAGTTTGGTGTCTTCATGTTTCATCACTGTGACAACCGTACAAAGTTCAACATTCTTATGAATTCCTTAGACATCGACTTGTTTTATTTTTCGAGGGTGTTTTAGACTTTTGGTAACATACTCAACAATGTTTCACTAAAACAGCTCACAAACACTAAATACCCCGAAATTTAAACCAAAGAAGAAAACTAAGCTTTAGCTTTTGTATTCTTAACTTTAAGGCTACATCTGTTTCATTGGTCTACTTAAAACATTTTACTTTATGTACATTCACCCTATATATCTTCAATTACACAGCCACCTAGGAAGAAACTGTCTACTTGACAAGGACACCATGTTAAGAATAGACTCAAAATGGACCCTACAAGTGAGAACGCCAGTCACAAAGAAATCCATCTGCCACTGGGTGTGGTTGGGTCTGCAGGGAAGAGCACCTTTGGTCAACTCTGAAAGAGGGTGCGCGCGCCAAGGAGCTGGGCATCTCTGCAAGAAAGGGCCCCCAATGACCATAGACTGGGCCCACAGTAGAACCGCCGTCGAATCCGACCTGCGAACCTATAGCTCGAGGGGTGAGGTCTGAGATGTGCCCATGCAGTCTCCACCAGCCGCGGAAGCCGCCCTGTTGGTGCTTCGAGCGCCGTGAGCCCCGCTTAGCCCCAAACACCGCGCCCAATCCGCCCCTTCCTCCGGGTTTCGGCTGCCCTCGGGCGCGCGGAAGCACACTGTCCTCGAGCTCCCGCCCAGCCCCTAAGGTGTAGGAGACTGGCGAGTTCAAAAAACCCGGACATAGACCAATCTCAGGTTAAGAAGCGAGGTGTCAGCTCTAGCAACCTGCAAAAGCGCTCAGCAAAAAGACCGACTTCTCTAGAAAAACTTTGCGGCAAGTTAGGCGGAAGCGCTGAATGGCCGGGACTATTTTACAGGCGCTTCCTATCACAAGAGGCGGGCCCCTGGGTCTTTCGGGGGGACCCTGACGCCCCACAAATTCGCCCTTTGCCCCCTGGCTGGCTCTCTACAGGTCTCGGCATCCTAACCCGACCGGGCGGTCCCGCTCACGGGGAATACCTGTCGTAGACCCCATTGCCTGCGAGTCCCTGATGGCGGCCATTACACTTCCATCCGGGTATTGCCGAAAAGCTGATCGCGGCACTACCGGGAGAGCACGCTGCGGCGGAGGGATCCGCGCTACACCTGAAGAAAGCGGAAGAGAACGGAGGCCGGCAGGACCCGCGCTTCACCCTGGCGAGACTAGGCCATGGAGCTGGGTTTGCCGCTGACCTCGCCAATTAGCGCGCCTGCCTGGCGCCCGCCACTCAAGTGACTCACTCACGGCTCCCCCTTTGCTCACCAGCCGCTGCAGAGATCCTACTGCCAATGGGATGGGCAGACAAACGTCCACTCTAGGCTCCTCAGAGTAGACACCAGAAGCAGGAACTCTGTGCACTTGGCAAGCCCTTGCTGACTGAGAATGGTCTCAATCCTGAGATTTTAATCAGTTCCGGCTTAGCAAATGGCGTCTCCCCACCACTTACAGCTGACCTGCAGGTTTTAGTAGACATTGCAGTCCAAGTCAACAAAAGAAGCTGCCAGCAGCAGCTGTGGAAGACATATGGAGCTCCAAACATGTGCATATTTAATAATTGTTCTGAAAACTGTCTTTACAATGAGAGATGCTCTCACACCACAATGGAATCCTTCCTCTTCATCACAAAACAGGGACAAAGAGTTCATTTAATACTGTTGGCTTTACCCCAAAGGCCAGTATGGTTCCTCCTCTCTCCTTTAGAGCATTTTAGAGCATTTCTGAAATCCAACCTATTTATTGATCTCACTCTTTACATAAGTTACTTTCCCTTAAAATTTTTTTAAAAAAAGAACAAAAACGGAAGGGCGGAGGAATACCCAAAATACTGAAAGCATTACTACCATTGAATTTTGTCCTGTTTTTTATGTTCCATATTTTCTTAAGCACCTATGTCATTTATATTTTTTTTAAAAACTTAAAAAACTATATATGATGAATATTTTTGATTATCTTGGAGTATGCTTTTGAAAATGTCGACCTGTAGTCATACGTAACATTTTCCCCATCCCTTAAAAAAAGAGGACGCTAAGGAATCCTCACTTTGTCTTTAGGAAGCATTCTTTATCACTACATCGATTGGTCTATAAAGTCCCACCTAGAAAAAGCAAATGAACAGAACTCCACATTATAATACTCAAATGCTTCTACAAAGTATACAACGAGAAATCTTACATAAATACTAAAAATGGCACCAGTATGGAAGGAAGAGCATGTTTACCAATAGATTTTATCCTGCATTAAACATCATCCCCCTCTCCAAGTCTTAATTTACATGACAGCCGGACATACATACATGACAGAGGAAAGAGAAAGAAAAGGAATTTATTCTTTTAATGGCAAAAAAAAGGTACTAGTTGGGAACATGAGCAGAGTTATTTGTTTTGCTTTCGATGCAGTTTTTGGCTTTTGTGTTTCACAATAAGAAATTGCACCCCCCCCCCTTCCACAGGGTTTTCTCATTTCTCTCTCCGACACACACTAACGAAGGCCTGGTGTTCAACCTGACCCAAATGTGAATTATCTGAAAGAGGAGCACAAGTTTCCAAGACACGAGAACAAAAAAGAAAGATATCAAACCAAATGACGTATATTTTCTGAAGAATTATTGGAATAAATAATCTAAAATAAATATGCTAAGCAAACTTAATGAGGGAAGATATCAGTATATTAGGCAAGAACAAAAACTCATTGCAAAAATGCAAAAATAGGCCGGCCCGTGGCTCACTCGGTAGAGTGCGGTGCTGATAACACCAAGGCCCCAGGTTTGGATCCCATATAGGGATGGCCGGTTCGCTCACTGGCTGAGCGTGGTGCTGACAACACCAAGTCAAGGGTTAAGATCCCCTTACCGGTCATCTTTAAAAAAAAAAAAAAATGCAAAAATACTAAATATGTATTTATAGCAGTTGAAATAAATAACACAATTAGTGGTTAAATAACAATATTGCTACATCTAAAGAACAATTCGGTGAGTTCTAAGAACAGAGCAAGAAACTTTCCTAGAAGGATGTTGGAAAGCATAAAAAGATATTACAGAAATGAAAAGACAAGAAATATGAAGGACAGAAGCAGAAGTGCCAATATCTGAAAATAGGAAGCCCCACAGGAGAGGAGGGAGGAGGAAAACGTATTTGGAAAAGTTTTCCTTAAAGGCTCATGGAGATATAATGGAAAAAAAAAAAAAAAAAGAAGATACGTTATAGTGAAATTTAAGACTATCAAAGATAAAGAGGAAATTCTAAAAGTTTCCAAAGATAAAAAGATCGTATATAAAAAAACAAGAATCAGATTGAGATCTTGTAGCCATAGCACCAGGCATTTTTTCCTCTCTCAGCATATTCCAAGCAGGAAAAAGTGAGCAAAAGCAAAAAAAGTTTTCTTCTTACACTCTTTCATCTTTTATTGAGAAGAGAAATCTTTCCCAGTAAACTTCTCTTTATATTTTCTTTGTCAGGACTCAGTCACATACTCATCGCTAGAAAAACTGAGAGTAAATGGAAACAGGATTGCTGTGATTGACTCAAAATAATCATGATTTATGCCCAGGGAGTGAACAAATGGCCACCTGAGCAAAAATAGTAGTTCTAACTAGCAAGAAGGAAGGATGAATAACTTTTGGTTGGCAAGTGAAGAAGTTTGGTATCTGCCAATGCCACAAAAAAAGAGAGAAAACCTGGCATTATGGAAGGACAAAAGAGTGCCTATGAAGTAGTCGTACCAATTATAGTAAATACAGAGGTCAGAGGAACAAATTAAACTATACCATGGGCAAAATCAGCTATGAACTTTGAGAAACTGCACTGGTCAAATGACTTTTCTCAACCAGACAGAAAATTATAAGGAAAAAAGAGACAAAAGGGAAAATCTATAAAATAAAAGAGACTTAAATTGCATATTAATCAATTACTATGTAAGGAAGTTACTTGGATCTTGTAAAAGAAACAGACACAAACCCCTTTATGACACGTATAAGACAACTGGAAATTTTGAAAACTGAAGATATTTGAGGATATAAAGAATTGTCTTGTTAATTTTCTAGGTGCAATATATGACAGTATATATATATATATTGTTATGTTTTAAATTTGTAATTCAGAGATACATGTTGAATTATTTACAGATGAAAGTCTGAGATTTACTTCAAAATATGAGGGAGACATGCAGGTGAAAGTTGAGATAAAATAAGATTATCCTTGAGTTAATTGTTTACCCTGGAAGTTGGGTACAGAAGAAATCATTATAAAATTCTACTTTTTGTATGTATTAAATTTTTACATTTCCACAGTAAAATATTTTTGAAAGTTTACATTAAGAAAAAGAGGTAAGCTGAAGGAGACCCCATACTCATGCCATTTTGTTTTTCATTGACTTCCTAACAAGAGGGGAAATCTAGAGAAAAGACTGGACTACAGCAGAAAAGGGAGATGTTCCTGAGAATCAGTTTTGCATTTACTGGATAAATTAACTGAGAGTGAAAAATATGTCCATAGGCCATAGGTCTCATTTTAACTGATCGTATCACCCAGGCGGCCAATGTACCTTCAAAGGTAAGACACCAGAAATATGCCCTGAGGGCAAAAAGCAGAGATTCAATAGATTTAAATGAAAAACGTCCGTATGTAGTCTGAAATTACCCCACTGCCTTTTTCCCTGTTTCCCCAACATCTTCAAGGCAGCTGAGTAAATGAAAAATACTAGCAGGTATAAACTTACCAACATCCAGCTCCTAGCTCAAGTCTAACAGAGGGATTGGAACAGTTGCTAGATAAACAGGAAGGGGAGTTGAGACTCCACCTATACAATTACTGACACAGAAGGAATAACTTAAAAATTAATAGTAAAGATAACTAATAAAATCCAAGGAGTTCACATAAAAATTCTGCCCCCTCCAAAAAAAGGACTTACCAAAAGACAAGTATTAAGGACCCGATTCTGGGAAGATGGCAGAGTGGGAAGCACCAGGAATCTGTCTTCTGATTTAGTCAACAACTGTACTGGAGGAATCTGTCTAATGTAACTATTTTGGAACTCTGGGGTCTGTTGAAGGCTTGCAACTTCCACGGAGCGGCTTGGCGGGTAAATTGCAGTTAATTCCAGTCAATTTCAGCTCTTAGATCAGCAGTGGCTACCCATCCCCCACGCTCTAGCCCCCAGGCAGACAGCTGTGGACTTGTTCCTGGAGCAGCTTGCATCCAGCTCGTGGAAGCCAGGGTGGACAATAAGGTCCAAATATTTATCCTCAAAATATCAGAGATCTATGTTCTGATTTCTGATTGCTGCTTCTGATCAGAGTAATTAAAGAGCTAGCACCTTTTCGCTCACATTCATCTCCTTTTCCCCTTTTTGGAGCCAGACATTAAAGTCTAGGGCATTCAAAAGCAACTGTATATTCAGGGTGAATTAGAAAGTCACTGCACATACCCAGGGAAAGGCATAGGCTCAGAAAAGACCTGAGGAGACCTTAAGTTTACACCTCAGGCTTATCTTGGCATGGGGACAGCCTACTACTACAAGCAAAAATAAAACAACGAAAACCAGCAAACCCTGGGGAAGGATAAAATCCAATTACCAGAGTTACCACATTATTAGATTCAAATGTCCAGTTTTCAACAAAAAAAATCACAAGGCATACAAAGAAATAGGAAAATACAGCCCATTCATAGGGGGAAAAAATAAGCCAACAGAAATTGCCACTGGGAAAGACCAGACCTATCACACAAATACTTTAAAACAACTGTCTTAAAAATGCTCAAAGAACTAAAGGAAGATGTGGAGAAAGTCCAGAAAATAATGTGTGAACAAAATGGAAATATCAATAAAGAGATAGAAAAAAAGAAAGTTGAAGAAATTGAACAAAACATAAAGGATCCGGGGGACATCATCAAGCAAACCAACATGGGCATTTTGAGAGTTCAAGAGGAAGAAGAGAAAGAGAAATGGGAAGGTAGATTATTTGTACCACTGGACCTTCCCTACAAGAAATGTTAAAGGGAATCCTGTAGGTTGAAATGAAAGGACCCT